TTTTGTTTCTTTAATTAAAAATTCAGAAAATGTAAACCTTTTTCAAAATAAAAAGATTACTGTATAATTTTTACGTATTTATGAATTCATATTTTTCTACATTCTCTCTCTCTCTCTCTCTCTCTCTCTCTCTCTCTCTCTCTCTCTCTCTCTCTGCCAATGATTTTATGATTGAAGAAAAATCTAAATTACAAATTTAGTAAGATATTTAAGATTATCGTACGAATTCTGTAACATCCTGCATAATTTGGAAAACATATTGTCGTTATTGACAGCAAACTTACATCAGCTAGATGATATTTATGATATTGTTGAAACTGTTCGTTGAATGAAAAATTTTGAATAACGAAGTTTCCTTTTAAGCCCCTAAAAACAAAATTTTTAATGTGTAACCATCTGTTCAGAAATTATAGAATTATAAATACTGTTATATGCATTGTAAAAACTATTATATATGCATTGTAAAAATGATGGTAACTAAAATATCAATATCACCATTTACACAGATATTCTTGTGTATTTTTATCATTAATTCCGACGTAGGTTTTCTCATTCAACGGCACAAACGTGAATTTCGACTCAATCTCCATTTTTACACTGTGATCTCCATGGAGATAACACACAAGTTTTCTAATTCATCAATTGATTTAAATGTGCAAATGCGACTTTGCTTCGTAATTAAAAGCTGCATTTATAACGATTAATTAAGTCAAAGAATTAAAAAATATCTATATTTAAATAAATCTGTTCATGGCAGATATGTATGTATGTATGTGTATATTACATATACATGGTGTCCCGAAATTTTTTGCTAAGGGCTCTTGTGTAAATAGAGCGGACTAAACTGAGTCGAAAAGGATCCTCTACCATTTTACAATTTTCGCAATAGTTAACAAAATATTATTAAAAATTGTCGAATATTGGTCTTCAATCATTTCTTTGGTAATTATTTAGAACAACTCGCCCCTCCCCCTCCCCTCATTTCAACTTAATCTTCAACTTTAATGCTTAATAATTTAATTCACGAGGCCGATCACTGCGTTTTTTTTTGCCAGATTCTTTCGTTTTGAGTGAAAACATGTCAAATAAGTGTATTTTTATTAAGATTTGAGGTGGGAGGCAGGAGGGGGAGAGGGGGAGAGGGGATTATTCTAAATAATTACCATTTTTTTCTGAAATACTATCAACTTCACAGAAAACTGCAAGAGACAAAAATTCTTTATTTTATTCTTATAGAACTCTAAGAATTTTTTATCAACTTTTTATTGCATTTTCTTATTGGCAACTATTTTTATCAACATGAGAAAATATTTAAAAATTCTCAGAATTTTATGAGAAGAAAATAAACAATTTTTGTCTCCGGTAAAGTTGATAGTATATGAGTAAAAAATTATTGAAAACCAAGATTTAGCGATTTTTAATAATTAAAATCTTGTTAACTATTGCGAAAATTGCAAAATGATACAGGACCCAGCTTAGTCCGCTCTATCTACATAAGAGTGCTTGGCAACAAATTTCAGGACATCCTGTATACATAGCATAAAAATATATCGTAGATATACATTTAAATAAAAATATATACAGAATGTCTGCTAATGATCGCATCAGCTTTCGTAAGCAGATAGAACAAATTAAATTGGGTCGAAAAGTCTTGTACTATTTTGTAATTTTTGCAATAATTAACAAGATATTTTTTAAAAATCTGCGCCGGTCGCCGTCGCGCCGTCGCAGTTGCTAGGCACGGAGTGGGGGATTGTTTGGCAATTATGGTGCCACATGCCAGCGATCGAGAAATTCATTCGAACTTACAATTAGATTTTCATTTGTCCTTTGTAACGATCTGCAATTAGCGTGCTTGAGGTTAAGGTGTGTTTATTTTGATCAAATGGCAGATAAATATTTTAGTGCTCAGGAATATACCGACATGATCATCATATATGGTGAAGCCGGAGAAGACGCTGTTGAAGCCGCCAATCTGTACGCAGAACGATTTCCTGGACGCAAGATATTTCCTGATGCTAACGTTATTTTAAGTTGTGTTCAACGTGCGCAGAAAACAGGATGCGTGTTGCAGATTGAAACTGAAGCTGAACAATAATACGCTGGTGCATATTTTCAGAGTTGTAAATTAAACATGCATGAATGAAAAATTCTATATTCGCGTGCACCAAGGCGGTTCTTCGTGTATATTTCTCGTGAACTCATACAATTTCCAGTTCAAGTAAACTGCACTGCGATTATTTGTCGATCTTGAAACACACTCCCAAACTGAAGCTGGAATCATAATATCACAAATTAAATTGACAAGCAATTTATTCTTAGAAAATTATTTTAAGATTTAATGCTTATTAGAATCAAATTATTAACAGTTAATTTATATATGATTGATTTTTTCGCTATTCTGATCTCTATATTTATTATTTATTTGCTTGATATTGTTAAATTATTTATTGATTTATTCTTCTTGTATTTTATATGAAGTTAATGTTTTACCTTGATTGTTGTTTAGTTTGTATGCTACTATGTTGTTTTGTAATTATAAGTATCTGTTTTGACTTGTCGATTTACTTGGATATTTTACCAGTTGTGTATATCATTCAGAATAGTGCATTCAGAATAGTCCACTGTGCATGTCTTCTATGATTGCAGTTTGAGATCTCTTTAATATATTTTCATTATATGTAATTTTTTGTATAATTGAAATCATTCATATTTATATGTATTATATTTTTTTATATTATATTTATATCATTTTTCTCAATTTTGTTATTATATTAAAGCAAATTAAATTTTAAGATTTTCCTTATTTATAATCATGTTATCATTCCTTGAATTTTTATATGCTTAAGTCAATATAATTAGTGCTGAGACACTACCAGTGTCTCTAGATCTACTTTAGTTAAGTTGTTCTATTCGAATAGTTATCTTGCTTTACTTAGAGTTTCTTACTTAACTTTAGAGTTTCAGCTTGAAATCACTGACATAACCTTGCACAGTACATCTATTGTGAGCCTGTAACATAAACTCTTTGGAGCTTTGTTTTGCTGACCTTGGTTTGCTTTTGGTAGAGCCTTACTTTATGAATTTAAATATCAATTTAAATATTCGTTCAGATTCATTTAAATGTTTGTTGCAAATTTATACCTACATATCCAATTCTGTAAACCACGTGCTGAAATATTTTTCAGTTTTGAAATGTAAGCATGCACAGAATTGAAGTAGTAATATCACATATTAAATCAACATGCAATTTAACAATTTGATGCTAATAAGCATATAGTAAGAATATTAACCATTTGATATAAGAATTTTAAAAACTATTAAAAACTTTATTATGAAAAATATTATCTCAACCAGGATCTGCTTTTATCGACAATAGGATTTAAAATTATATTTATTTTTATTGATCCTATTTAGAATTATAATTCTTACATGAAATTTTACATTAACTGTATATTAATTTATTATTTTACTTTGCAAGGTAGTGACGAAATGATAAATTTTAGGTACATGGAACTGCATCCAATATTGTCAGCCAAGATAAGGCAAACTCCAACATTGTTTTCCACTTGATGATCTTAAAGTACATAGGTCTGAGCAACCATGCCAAGAACTGCTTAGGATTACTATTAAGGACTATTAAGGAAGCAAAGTATCTAATCGGCAATTTTGGTGGCACTGTAAAATGCAGCGAGTATATCAATGAAATATTTATATGAAAGTTGTTGCGCGAGTTAAATAAAAGGCAGACAATTTTGTTGATCGAAATTTAAGCTGCCAAATACTAATAGAATTTATGCATCCACAATGAAGGAACCACTATTATTTATCATTTGTTGTAACTCGTTTCGTGTAACAGTTTCGTGTATATGTTTCCACGCAATTAGAAATTTATAATTGGAATCGACGAAATGCAAAGTATTGTTGAGTATATATTGTTATTATTTCAGTCACTTTACGGGTATAGATTTTTCCCTTCCTAGTACTATCTCGATTAGACGCGATTTGATTCAATTTCAAGATTTGTTGAATTATGCGCTGGAATGACATTTAATTTTGTTTCGTTAACGTTAAACATACAATATGTACATCGTTTCTATTGACTTCATCAATCATACGCTTCTACATGTATGATTTAAACTATTCAGAGAAAAGATCTTAATACAGAGTAAAATTAGTCATATAAATTGAGTATTAGAAATGCTGTATCAGTTTTAAATAAAATTATTGCGCGAGACGTATATTTTCCCATTAGAGTAAGAACAGTTGAAAAATAAAAGTTTATGAAATTTGAACACCTATTTTATTTTGTATCGCAAATTATTTCAATCCTTATAAAACTAAACATTCTTAATAATTTATCATTAGAATTTTGAGAATTTGAAAATTACTTTTAACATTCTCTTTCAGTTATAACAACAAATTTTTTTCTGTACGAGGTTAAATAATATTTGGATAAATTTATTTAAAAATTTACAGTATTTATGTTAAAAATATTTAATTTAAAAAATTCACAAAATGTAAAAAATATGACAGTAAATGGCTGTGCACAATAATTTGTAAAATAAATGTTATAGCGGGGAGCACAGACTCTTGCAAAATGCATAAGAAAATGAACCAATCAAAGTCCTTTATTTCCTTCTTTTCCATGAAATAAAGGACTCTGATTGGTTGATTTTTTTATGCTTCATGTTTTATGCGTTACGCATAATGCATAAAAGAACCAATCGAAATTTTTTTTCATAGAATAGCAGGAAAGGGAAGATTCTGATTAGTTGTTCGCTTATGCATTATGTGTTATGCGTTATGCAAAAGCCTGTGCTTGCGGTCTTAAAAATAAAAGATATTTGATAACTTATTTCTGGAGTTTTTGAACTTCATTTAATGATTTAATTTTTTAGATTATTAGGATTTTTTTTGTAAAATTTAGCTTATTTCTGGAGTATTTTGGTAAAGCATATAGCAGAATTTTATAATTCAGAATTAGCAACATTGGGCTGCGCAGAACCGGACGAAAATTGATTTCGAGAACGAACACATCTGTTGTATTTCCACCATGCGTATAGAATAAACAATCAACAAGAAATGGCTTCAAGAGAGATCATACAGAAGTTCAAAATGGATACGGAAATTGATAATGAGATAAGAAGATTGACTGAGGTCTTAAAAAAGAAACAAGAGGATCGCAAACGCCTGGCAGAGAAAATCAAGACAATAAGGCGATGAGGAATGTGAGCGAATTTAAGAACTCGAGGGACCGCGATCTGATACAGAGGCTAGAAAGATCATTGACAGCTTCCAAAATGAATTAATAAATAGCAGTGATGACGACGCGAAGAGATTAATTTAGAATGCAAATCAATGGTCGAAAACAAAAGTTACGAGACAAAATATAAGGTAATAGCAAATTTTAAAATAATATATCCTACATCGCTAGGAAACGAACCAAAGGAAAACTTAATATTAAATTTTATTATAACAGAGAATTTTATATCATTCGAATTTTAGAAGACAACCGGAATACGAAATGGCAGCAGGAAGTGCCATTCTTACAAACGTGGAAACCAATCCTGCATTTAATGTCCTCGAGTGACACCGACGCTAGTAATGATGCGTACCAAATAAGAGGACCAAACCACTTTAAGTAAATTCCCCACCACATCAAGTAAATTCTGTTCCATCGACCTCGCAAATACCTCATGTTTTAGATTCTAATCATAATCTATTCCCTACAGAAAAACCTAATGCCTAACCTAATGCCCAATATTCCACTAACAAAGTTTAAGAAGAAACTTGGAAGATCCAAGGTACGCTGACAAACAAAAGAGATCACTCGAGAGGTACTACAGTGATTTACCTTTACAAACATTATTAAACATAATCAAGATTAACTAATCCAGACAAAAAAAAACGATAGGAAGATTTAAAAGAAATCAGAAAAACACAGCAAAGGAAACTTGTACATCAAGCGTTATACAGAGAAATACATTGGAAAAAAGAAGTCCACACAAAACATCAAGTGGCAGTAGAAGATGAGGTAATTAACGAAACCCAAATCTTAACGATCAAAAGAAAGAGTTTTTACGAGTCTCACAATAGTTTACCTTCGCTGATATCTCAGCAAGACAAATTCGAGTGGAGCATACAACCGATCGCAAATGTGTTTGACAAACATGTTAGAAAATCTCTAAATAGTTTAATATGCTTACCTGAACAGGAGGCTGAGCACACAGAAATTTTAAATGGAGCACAGTCACAAGCATAACAAATGGAAGTCATAGACGAGGCTCAAACAAATCACATGGAGGAATGGAGAATGTAACTTGGAATAAGGAATAATGATGTTATATGTTTTAAGTAATGTATTAAAAAGAGTCACATCGTAGACTTTTTGATTTTAGATGAATTTACTATTTTTTTTTTATTTAATTATTTAAAGTTACGTTTGGGAAATAATAATTATTATCAAGTTAAATATATTATTTTTTGTTTATTATTCAGAGTTAAACCAATTTGATAATAATGTAATATATGTTTGAAATACTTATCTATTTATAGATAAAACAAAGATTTATGAATAAAATATTAAAGATATACCTATCTCAATCTACCTATAATATACTTTGATTTGTAGATTTAATCAGCACCTGAAAAGAAAAAGAGAATGTTAGATTAGATGTTAAATAATTAGAAAATGATTAAAAGTTAATAGCAAATTAATATAAGCTAAAGAATAATACTTACCTGTAATACTTATCTTAATCCTTCCAATGAGTATTGATGAAGTTATATTATACCTATGTTAAGATTTATGATATTTTTGTTAAAATTTTAACAAATTGCATAACTTTGATTCTTCGCCTTTAAATAGAATTTATTATTAAATTTGTCTTTATCAAATATGGAAATCAAATTAGTAATGCGAATAATCCTTCAGTACTCAAAAGCATTTGTTTTCGATATAATTCCTATATAAGAATAGAATATAGATGAGCATTTCGAATCCTCTAAAGATAGAGGATCTGGTAGTCTGATACTGGTGAAGAAAGCTTTCTGTCCCTAATCTGGCAAGTTAGAATAATTCAGCATGATTTAATTATCAAAATCTTTATTCCTAAATCTTTATTTATATTTTATACAGGCTCGGATATAAAACAATACCAAATTAAACTATTTTTTCAGCATAGCAATCTGGTAAAATCAAGCTTTCCGTACGATCTCATTAAAAACAGTTTTCTTAAAAAAAGATCAGACTTGATATCCATAATCGGATCTTATAGGACAGTCTTAAATAATGTCTTAAGATGGTGCCGCGGGTGCCAACCAAAGACCAGTATAAGACATTAATTAAGACTGTCTTCTAACTAACTATAAATATTAGCTATTGTCTAAAAAAAAAAATTATTTATAATAGTAATTAATTATACCGATAAAATAATTATTTATTTTTTTGTAAATACTTTATACTCAACACTAATAGAATATTTTGCTTGTGCTACGGTGATTCACCAATACTGTAGATCAGCACTTTAGCAGTTAGTATGGGAAT